TGTGGCTCCAATTCACTCTCTGACTGTTGGGCTATTCAGCCTTTTTCAAAAGAGAAACTGATGACTTACACACACTCTCACACATTTATCGGCCAAGTGAGTGGGCACATTTGTCTGTTTTTATGTGTGTGTGTGTGTGTGTGTGTGTGTGTGTGTGTGAGAGAGAGAGAGAGAGAGAGAGAGAGAGAGAGAGAGAGAGAGAGAGAGAGAGAGAGAGAGAGAGAGAGATGGAGATCCTGGGGAAGCCTATAGAGAAAATCTGGTAATTATTTGTATTTTAATAAAGCTTTGTTGTAAAAAAGTAAAGCAATTATTTAGCATACTTGATCATCATCATGTTTGAAGTTTTATTATCTCTGCTGAGTATGAAGTAAAAAGTTCAGAGTCTGGACGTTTATCAAGCCTATACAGGCTTTGCATTTATCTAACAAACCAATCCACATGATTTGTTGTAGTTACAGCTTCAAACCACTTAAACTTAAACACACTTTAACTTTATAAACTCATATTGTGCAACATTGTTCCATCCCTCAGATCTGTATTTTATAGTAAAGTAAGGTCAGAGTGCGAAATACAGTCTCAGGGGGTCTTCAGTCGCATATTTAACACCTAGAATTCCCTGAAAATGTCTTACAAAACATTAATTACTGTGATGGCAAGGCACTATTTAGGGGTGACAGCTGCAACCCCATGCCACCTCTCTGCATGCACACGAATACATGTATATATATATAGTCATGCAGTGTATATAACATATTTTAAATTAAGAATTTAAGAATTAAGTGTTCAATTAAGACAGCAGAGTTCAATGTAGAAGAGATGGTTTTTCTGTCTTACTATAACTGTCTGTCTGTCTCCCTCCAATCTAACAGATAATTAGCAGGACTCTCCTTCAAGGGTGAAATTGAATTTTTGGTTTTATGCTTCGGCAGCAAGACAGAGAGCAAGAGTAGTGAGGAAGACAGATGCCTTCTCACTGACCTTATGGCTGAACTGTAATAATGTTAAACCATTTTTCTTTCTTTTTCTCGTTCATTGTGTGTGTGTATGTGTGTGTGTGTGTGTGTGTGTGTGTGTGAGAGAGAGAGAGAGAGAGAGAGAGAGAGAGGTGAGATGAAGAGAGTATTCCAAAGGGCTTAAGGGCATTTCTCAATGTTAAAGGGGTAGGTTTTCAATTACAGTGTGTGTAAGTGTGTGTGTATGTGTTCACATGCTCAATGACAAACCTCTGAGCCACCGACACCTCTCTGCCACTAGCTGCCATGTTCGAAGTAACACGCACATTTTATGATACCATAACTGACAGGATAATATACTCCACTGTTTGTTTTGTCTTTTGAGCACTACATGAGGCATGAGAATGTCTGAGACATCAGTGTGATTACAGTAAATAGAGGAGATCACCAAGAAGCTGGCAGCCTCTGCTGCCTTCCACACATCATTTTACATTCTGTGACACCAGCTTGGATGTGGCTGGAACTCGGATGCTTTACAGAGCCTGTCGTCAACAGGAAGTGTTTGACTAACACATGGGAGGCTGCAGTTTGCATGATGCCTTTTTATCAATCAAATGTTTCTATTTTAAGGCATCATAAAATTTTATAATAGAGCAGAAAATACCTTAATTGTTTGTCTTGTCTAAATTGATTCGAAGTGTCTGTGTTTTGCCATAGATGAGCTTACTTTTGACGCTGTCTATCAGAGCTTCATTGAGTTTTGCAGCCTTACTTTTCTTTGATGATGACTTGCCATCTGAGGTGCATTGATCTGCATTATCCCTCTTTCTTTTTGGCTGATATTTGTGGGTTTGTTTTACCCACCTGACTCTGTAAGCGCTGCATTCATCCTTTTCTTAGCCGAGGTGGTGTCAGGGCTTCTGTGTCAATAAAGAAAATGTTTGAGTCTCTTGAATTTTAAAGTAATAGTTTGAAATTTTAGGAAACACTTTTCTTTGCTTTGATTCATTGCGCTAACGACAATATAAAAATGACCAGTTATGGTTTTATGTGCTGTTATGTACTTCTGTTATGTAGTAACTAACTATTATGACTATGGGGACTGTAACAAACAAATTTCCTCCCGGGGGTAAATTAAGTATTTCTGATTCTGATTCTTAAGTACACCCTTCAGCTCTACGATCCAATTTGTGTTACAACTTTTGTATGGCAAAAACAAACCTTCTGCACAACAGGGCAGATCATTGACAACTTAGGAGGCTGAGAACGGCTCTTCTGCAGGGAATCAAGGAGACTTATGTAGAGCTTCTCAAACTCAAGACAAAAACGTCCCTCAAAGGTGAAAGAGTCGTTCCATTTCACAATGTGAACCTGGGCTGAGTCAAGCTCTTTCATCTTTTTAAGGATTATTTCCTGAATGTATGAGATATTAGAGCGATACTTGATATAAATGCAATGTGATTTTGACAAACAATTTGTGCTGCACCTATCTCTACGCCTTCCACTCCCCAGGAGATCCTGCACCTTGTAGTCAGAGGAGGCAGAGGAGAGGCCTTCTTCAACGATCTGAAAGTCTTGGTTGTCAGTCGTGATGTTCGAGTAATGGCTGAAATAAATAACTGGTGAGAGGTGGGATTTAACCAAATTCTAGTTCTGTTCAAGTATCTGTTCATGTGTATTATTCCTGTTTTCACTGTTACTTCTAAAAACAATCTGCCAATGCCACCTACATTAGCTGTGAACTAAGTTAAGTAGTGGTTTATCTACATTGCAACCAGATGTTCATAAAAACTTAACATCAGGCAGGGGTAACGTGGCATTTGGAGAATTTAATCAACTTGTTGGTGATGTTTTGTATGAGGTTGCAACCAGATGTCGGGTTGTTTTCGAGTGAACGAGCCAACAAACATAGTTGAGATAACTGAAATGATGAAGTCTGAACATAGCTCTATATATCTGTTATTTGACACTCTACTTATTCAATTCCGTAGCTTGTTAACATCTCTCGCCCACACACTCTCATCCCAGCATACGGCAGCATAAAAGATGGGCCGTCACATACTGGTAGAACATCTGCAGTTGCTGAAGTCTCCGAGCCTTTGCAGGATGTAGAGTCAGCCCTGGTCTTTCTTGTAGAGGTCATACATTTACACTCTGATGTATTTGTAGGAGTGAAGGGAATGCAGCTCTGTAATAAACCCTACCTTCATGAAGGTTATAATTTTTTTGTTGAAACAGTTTCAGTTGCTGCTTTATAACGCCCCTCTGCTTTTTAACACGTGGTTAACATTGTGAAACGATATTAGTTTGGTAAGGTTTTAGAAAAGATTATGATTTTGGTTCAAATAAGTATGTTAGGTGACGCAGCTTGCCAATACTGCGGCTTTCTGTTTCACACAGGACACAAATCCCAGTCTGAAAGGTGAAAATCCTGTGTTTGTTTGACAAATCCATCCACCCCAACCAGCTCCTTATGTGGACATTGTCTCTCTTTACACTACATCACCTGACACAGGCGGATTACATTGGAGTCAGGTGCGTCTCAAACTGACGCTGAAGGGTTCTTGTTACGTATGTATGTGAGGGGTGTGACAAAATGCCGGTACTTGACGTCCTGGAAATAAGAATGAGCTTGTTTAAGAGAGGAAAGCCTCCAGTTTTTAATACCAAACTGCTGCTTCAGTACATGTAGATACCTCCCCTCTTTAATGACCATCCCCCATTTGTGCATACAAACTTACAGTGCACATGGATCAATAGACTTACAGTGTGTATAGAATCACCTTCTGTAACCTGATTATTCCTCCTGTTTGTTGGTGTGAACTGAAGCTGTGCACAGTACTTTCAGTTATTTCTTCTTCAGTCAGAAGCATGTACACAGTTAGAGAACAGAATTTTATTTATATGTTACTACAGTATTCTACATTTATCATCATCAACAAAATGACTCAGCAAGATATTAATTGTGAAGAAAATAGATCATTGTCACATACAATTATACAGTGCCGGGGAGGGCTTTTAATATCTAAATTAAATTAAAGTATAGTCCCACCATTTCACCGTTTACAAGACTATCTACACAATAAGTAAAGCAAACTATAATTTTTGTGTGAAGTGTGTATTCAGTGCTGGAGTGATTGATGAACAAGACTTTTGGGCAACGATATGACTGAGATCTTGTTTTTACTGAAATGATTGTTTCTGATGAAATGATGTGCTTTGTTACTAATTTTAATAATAAATCTGAATAGCCACAAACACACAAGTACAAGCAATCTGTCTTATGCACATTATACTAATTTAATTTTAAGATGTTAAATTTATATTTTACAATATTCATTTACTAAAATTTGAAAAGAAAACTATGTGTGTGTCCATGCTCTTCACTCCACCATGCTTACTCATTAATCTGTCATCCATCAATATCAACTCATCCCCGCCCCGTAAACAGAGCTATCAGTGATGGATCACCCTGATTTATTTCAAGAGACAAGACCTAATCAATAAGGTTAAACACACTAATGTGGTTCTAGAGTGTGAGCAAACAAGTGTGTGTGTGTGTTTGTGTAGATGGGTGGAGGAAAAAGGCGGGCTGGGGGGTGTGGGTCTGATGTAACAGAGTCAGTTTCATCACCCGAGGCATCGAGGATGAGGAGGAGGAAGACGAGAAGAGACAGAAGGGAAGCGACATGAAGAGTCTAAAATGACTCTCTCTCTCTCTCTCTCTCTCTCTCTCTCTCTCTCTCACTCACACACACACACACACAGACACACACAGACACACAGTGTCAGCTTCCATCAGTAGCCTGTATGGTTGTGAGTTATGACTGCAGATATGCGATCATTTACACTCACTGCTGCAGATAGCCAGCGGCTACTGTTCTCGCTGTGTTTGCGTATGTGTGTGTGTGTGCAGAGATTTTGTGTGTCAATACACAACAGCGTAGCCAAGGAAAAAAGCTGAAGATGAACCCAAACGTATACTTTGCTATACATTTTTCAAATTCCAGATGTATAGAAATAAAAGACAATTGCTGTCAGAACTCCCATAAGGCCTTAGTTTATTTCATCTTAATAAAATGTATACAAACTGACAAGGTGCGTTATTTTTGCTATCCAGTGCTGTAGTAAATATACACATTAGTCCTCAAATATGGACAGAAGGCCCCAGAGACATGTTTTAGCCTGAGAAAGAGAAAACCCACTGTGTTACAAAGGCTAACATATCTGTAACTATTTATTTTAACCTGCAATAACTGATTTATTGTTTTGCCACTTGGGGGGAATGGAAACAACTGTGAACACACCATCGCCATATCAACCTTAAAGATGATGATATGTCAAAACTGTTAGCAAACAATTAATTATTTACACATCAAGCATTTTAGGAGCAACATTATCATTAATTTGATGTTGTTTTTCTGGCCACCTGGTTGATGCAAGTCCAATATTAACTCTGTTTTTGGTCTCTACCAACTCCTGATATAGGCTCTTTAGCTGCTCGTCTCTGTTCCCCAGCTATATTCACTAACCGTTTGGTGTTGATTAGATAGTGTCCAGTGGGTTTTTAGAGCTTCTTTGCAGCTGTTATCAAAAACAATGTTATGAGAGCAGCGAGAGTGAACCGAAACGCAGTAGCAAGGAAGCTGCAGATTCAGGTTATAATTCCTTGTAGGTTGATCACAACAAGCTTCCATACTGTCAAATAGTTTTTTACATTGTCATTTGATACATTGTTAGTATAAAAATATCCATCATAGTTGCTAAATGTTCAAATGCTTGTGATATAAATACAATTTCAGAACTTATAAGGAACAAACTTGCATGTTCAGATGTAGCAAAGTGTGAAATTTAGTGAGAACCATCATAATACACAAAAGTTACAAGAGATTTTCATTCCATAATGAACTCCCTAAATGGAGTTAACTGTAGATTTCAAATGCACATGTTGCACTGTGGGTATGACAATCAAAGACAATATGCACACAAGAGAAAGCGATTATTGTACAGTGTCATGGTCATGGAGAATGTAGGCTTAATTCATGTCATAAAACATAATGTAATGGTAAATAAACATCCATATATTGAAAACAAAGCAAAGGAAGTATAGCAAGGAAACCCCCCAAAAAACAACATGCACAAATAACAGACGGTTTTCCTCCGTATTACTTCAAGGTATTTCTCTGCCTCAACATTTCCCCCCAAAACCTCATAGCGATGTGTGTCCTGTCCAACTGAAGCTTTCGTTTCAGTTCAGTTCAGGTCATTCCACTTCAGGTTGATTCACTTTAATTCAGTTTGCTTCACCTGGAAATGGCTCACAGTACTGACAGCAAGCTCTCATTTACTCCCCATCTCTTGTACTCCAACTGGCTTGATGTTACACTATCAGCATCACCTACAGGGAGACAGAGACACGATGTTAGTGTGAGCTGTTGAGAGAAAGACAGGACAGACAGGACTTGGGTAAATGTAATAACTCTGTCTTCCCTTTTTCTCTCTCTTATTGTAATCAGACTGCTGCAATATGAAAACCTCACATCTCAAGGAAGTCTACTTTTGAGGAATAACAGGAAGAAAGTGATGTTTCTTTCAACATTTTCTCTTTAAAAAAACATGAATTTGTGAGAATGTCAAATGCATTTTGTTTAGCGCATGGGCACATAACGAATTCTTGATTCAACCAAAAACAGAGAAACCCTACAAACCGATGTAGATACAGCAAAGGGGTGAGGTGTCTGTTTTAGTCAAGTCAAACCAATGTCCTCACACACACACACACACACACACACACACACTCTCTCTCTCCAACACACACACACACACACACACACACACACACATACAAAATTCAATCATGTCTCTGCTGCTGCCTCGGGCAAACACAGTGTGGAAACCTCACTATAGTGGAAAATCACCTTTTCCATGTTATTTTACACAGCAGCACCTACACTACACACAGAGAGAGAGTCTGGCTGCATTTACACCAGGAACCAAGAGATCTGATTTTTTAACCCTTTGTGGTGCAGATCTCACGCCGTCACGGCCGTCTCAGCCACAAGAGTCGGTGAGGAATGTGATTTTTATACAACCGTGAAAGAAATCTGTGCCTCAAAGAGCTAATGTGATCTTGTGACAATAGCGAGTTTGTTGCTGTGAGCCTTCTTAGTGAAGTTTGTATCATCATGATACCCAACTGGATGGGAAGTGAATTTTCTGGAAGGTCGTTTGGCAGCTTTATAATATTTGAATGGTTGAGACATCAGGTTTATTGACTGTATGTGTAACTGTGATAATTCACTGTCATTTTCATAAATATTTTTTTAATTTCCCATAAGCCACTTTGTTCTAATGAAGCAACAATGTTTTTTAAGTGGAGATTAACTTCATGAGCATTTGTATTGATTAAACAAACATGATGTGAGCTTTGGAGATGCGGCTAAAGGCAGCTTTTGTTACCTCTGATGAGAGCCAAGCTAGTCATTTCTTTCTGTTTTCAGTCTTTATGCTAAGCTAAGCTAACCAGCTGCTGGCTGTAGCATGACATTTGCCGTACAATTGGCCAGCACACATGCTTATGTGCTTTCTTACCAAGATTAGATGAAAAAAGTGACACCTAAGTTGTGTTGAACCATTGTTTAAATCAGAGTTTCTCTACATAGTCACAAAGGTGACTCAAAGGAGGTTGTTAATGAGCATTATCCTACTTTAATATTTGAGGTGTCAAAGCAACGTGAGACTACTAATAAAGCCAAATCATTTGGATCCAAAGTCGAGGAGCTTCGGTGGAAATAACTCGAACAAAGAAACCAAACTCAAAACATAAAAAGTTCTCAAACTGGATTCAAAGCATTTTCCATTAAATGTTTTCATTAATTTGTCTACCCTCCATGCTATCCATCCAAGTGGACATTCGATGTATCAACTAAAAACACAGTGTATTATTACTACAAAAGAGGAGTTCACTGTTGGACAAATGTCATATGAAACAAAATCACTGGGCCGAGGAGACGAGAAGCAGCAGTGAGTGGGGATCTCTGGTGTTCTGTTAATGTGACCACCATTTTAGAGGCCTGTGGTGTAATTCAAAGTGTCAGAGTGGAGGAAAATAACGTGTTGAGCATCTCATCAAATCGCTCCGGCTTAAACGGCCTCTCTCCAGAGTGTGTTTAGGAAATTAAAGGCCAGGGATTTTTTTCATAATTGTCTATTTTATCATTTTATTACAGCTAGCTTTCCTCTGATGGGCTCCCTTTATGATTTATCAAATACAATTACTGCGTGACTTATTTCAGGAGCCTCTCCAATGCTGAGGACCATTAATGTGTGTGTGTGTGTGTGTGTGTGTGTGTGTGTGTGTGTGTGTGTGTGTGTGTGTGTGTGTGAGAGAGAGAGGGAGAGAGAGAGAGAGAGAGAGTGAGAGTGTGTGAGCTCTGGTGTATTTAAATAGCATTAAGTAATTAGAAAAACAGGAAAAGAGGCAGAAAAGCTAAATTGTCTTTGTGGATTTATCCCCCTTCCATCCCCCCACTTTCTCTCTGTTTCTCTTCGTAAATACTCCAGAAGCTTCCATTTTAAAGGTAAAATAAGAGGAAATCATGTTAGAACTGATACCGAAAAACTCATTTGGAATAGTTTCACTTTTCTGCTGCTAAGATATTTGTTCGGGAAAGAAGAAAAAAGAGATACATAGAGATAAAGAACAGGAAAGACACAGAGACAGGCAGAGAGAATGAGGTTAATTCCATACCTTCCCCTCCCTGTTAATGAAGTGTAGGTGGCGTCCCGGTCAGTGCAGCTAATTGAACAGTGGAGATTACAGCAGCCGCTGCTCCTCTGTGAAAAGAAGGCCGTGTTCATTAGTCGTTGCCATATAATATTCATTCTCTGTAGAAATATGTAGATAGTAATCTATGTAAAGAGCCGCTGGGATGATTTTAAAGCTCTCAACATGTACTGTGGTAGCAATAACTCAAACAATTATCATTTGAAAAATGACGGGTGTTGGGCGGCACTCTTGCACACTCAAGATGTTCATCATCTTTAATTTCTTGCATTTATCAAAAGTTTTACTCATAGCGTGATTTGTGCATTTATTCTTTGATGCTAAATTATTTTATATTTAACATTTTAAAGGCTTAAACCACCTACACCAATCCCTGGCATAACCCCAGCAACATTGATGGTTTTTTTGTTTAAAAAGGGCTTTAAATCAAGTTTAAATCAACTTAGATTTAAGCCAGAATCAAGAAAAAATGAAAGTTCCTTGTTGCTGCTTTAAATGAATAACTGATACAGTATGAATCATGTTTTCATTCAAATGTTGTGCCAATTCTAAGGGAATTTAATAATAATAGCTGTGAGTAATATTTCCTACACTTCCTGACATAAAATGTTGAGGCAACAAAGTATCACAACATTGTTTCTCCAAATCTCCATCTGCCTTAACTGCGTATTCCCTCTGTTAGTTCACCAAATTTCTTAACTTAACTAAGAATGCAAACGTTTTCAATACATACTTTAACGTCTGAGGTCTGAGGTTTCTAAATTTATCGTGTGTGTCAGAACAGGTGGATGGGACCCTGGATGGGACAGTGAACAAGCAGCCGTGACGGTGACCCATTCATCCGGTTTCCTGATGCTGCAGTCACTGCAAATAGAACCCAGTAGAAACCCAGCATGTCTTTATCAGGACAAAAACAAAACTCCTCTCTGCTTCTGTCACTTTTCTAACCCCAGAGAAACCCTCTTCTCCCCCCTCCTACCCCCCACCACCCCCCACCCTTCGGTTGCCCATCCAGCTCAGTGGGACCCTCTCTCTCTCTCCCTGTCTCTCACTGTCTCTCAGCCTCTCTCGCCCCCTCCCTCAGGGCAGAAGTAAACCACGCCTTGAGGCCCTGCTCCCATTGTGTGTCCTCTGCTACTTCTGTTTGGGGCCTTTGTGTGCCGCTAATCAGCCGTGGGGCCATGCTCAGCCCCGAGTGTGTGTCTGTGAGTGTGTGTGTGTGTGTGTGTGTGTATGTGTGTCTCTGTGTCCCTTGCCCTCATTACGTAGCCACACTGGGAGGCCAGCATGGGAAGTTTCTGCCGCACTATACACCTCCCTCCATCCCCCCTTCTCTCTTTCCCTCCCTCTAGCTGTCCATCACTCCGTTCCTCCCCCCTCTCATCTCGCCACCCCAAGACTTAAAGCTATACTGGCCATGATTTTTAGATGAAACTGCACCAGTTTTTGCCTAAATCGAGCATCTTCCATTACACAAATGATCCTTGTGCTAGATGTTTGCTCAAATTTTTATCCGTTTTATGTTGTCGAAAAGTTGCTGGGTTGGAATATTAAAATTTTCTCATGTAAAATTTAAAACTCAAACAGCATGTAGTGAAAACACTAGGTTGTAGGATTGCTGGGCACTGCCATTCTCAAAAGTAAAAGTTGCTTCTTTTTGACATTTTGGGCAGCACATGTATGCTTGGCTAGCATATTATAATATTTATCTATAGTTATCCTCCACCATTAACTGCTTTGAAATAACCAGTGATAATGATTGATGATGATGGATGGCTTTTTGTACATTGTTATATATTCTGTACATGAATATATACATTTCAAGCATTCAGGTGACACTATTGAAAACATAATTATCCATATATTTCTGCCAATAGATCCTCCTAAATGACTGGACCTTGAAATCAATATCAAATACCATGATCTATTTAACAGTTGATCAACATTCACCCAAATGTTATTTATTAATATAAATAATCAGTCTGAGATATTTTCATTTTAAAGATTCTCTTTTGAATTGTTATAGTTATTTCTAGGACATGACAGTATGTATTTTAAGAGCATGGGTTTTTAACTGCAGCAAACACATTAAGTAATCTGTGAGTATGGAATAAACAAGTGTATTGAGGGCAAGAAGGTGATTTGAGGGTAATTTAATCAAATCATTTTAGAGTGTCCTCATCCTCCGTATAGAGAGTTTGAGCTTCTCCCCTCGGGATGGAGATTACCAGAGACCGGGTCTAACAGGTTGAGAAATTCTTTTGTCTCTCATGCCACCAAGATTTTACATGCTTAGGATGAGTCAACTGATGATGAGTCGTCTGCCATATAAAATTGGCAGATGACAATGACGATATTGTTACACTGTCACTGATGTTCATTGTTTTATGCCAGCTTGTGTGTTGGGTTTTAGCTAAGGTTTTACATATTTATTAGTGTATGTCTTATGTGTTTTATTAGGTTTTGTAAAGTCTGTGAGCATTAAGTGTAGCTGCAAGACAAATGTCCCCCCACAATAAAATGGAAGTTAAAAATGTTTTCTCTGACAACAACAGAAACAGAAAGTCAAAGGAAACAACATCACTGTACATGACACACTGTTTGTTTGACAGCTGATCTTTATAGAAATAATGGAAGGTGAAGAAAAGCTGAAGGTTTGAGAATTTATTCCATTTCACTGTTAGTTAAATCCATGAATAAGCTGGACTAAGTGAACTGTCCGTTGCTCTTTATTGCTCCCCTCTGTCACCCGCTGGGTGCCCCCTCACTCTGCTGTTCCCCTACCACTCCTCCTCCGCTTCACCTCCTTCTCATCTGTCCATCCCTTCTTTTTACTCTTTCCCTCGCGGGTTCCCCCCTCCTCCTTCTCACATACATGATGTATCACCTGTCCGTGTGTGTGTGTGTGTGTGTGTGTGTGTGTCTTGGTGCCGACGGGGTTTTAGCCACTGGAGCTCTTTGACTTGAGGACAAGCGTTGTCTGTTCATCGCTCATCTAAACACACACACACACACACACACACGCACACACCCTCTCTCTCTCTTCAGTCAACAGCTACACTCCTATCTCAAATTTCAGTGTGGGACCGAGAACATCTCTTTCTTTCTCTCTCTCTCTCTTTCTCCTTCCCTTCCTTTAGCTAATTTCTTCCTTCACCTGAGTTATCACAAGCTGTTTATCCATCATGAATCCTCTTCTCCCATCCAACAACTTTAGCTCCAGGTCACCAGGTTCATCAACTTACTGACCCATATTTATGTCACAGCACATAATGAGGTTGTTACTTGTGTTTATCGCAATTTCCACCTCAACAGAGAGATTTTAGAGACTACTTGAGAAGGACAATTTCTTCACTTATTTTTTACTTCTACTGTCCATCATGTATCACGCTATAGAAGATTATGTCAAGTCACAGGTAATTTCTTTGATCAGCAATTCCACCTCAAGTAACTACACCAGTTAGGACAATGTAAGGGAATACAATGTATCACTTTCCTGCTTTAAGATTTATAGTTAAGTCAGAGGCCTCTGAGCAAGGCCTAAAAAATAAAATAAAATGCTTGAAAATACATATTGCTTTAATGTGAAACATGCACTGGAAACCCAAGGTGGAGCAACATGATCCAAGAATAATAACTACCTGCACCGTAAACTACTACTATGAAGGATTTCCACTGGCTGAAGTTGACAAAACTGCTATGACCTTAAAATATCTGTTAAATCTCATGAGTTTGGTGCAGGGAGTGTGTGTGTGTGTGTGTGTGTGTGTGTGTGTGTGTGTGTGTGTGTGTGTGTGTGTGTGTGTGTGTGTTTGTGTAAGTAAGAGGGAGAGAGAAATTATAATTAGTGGTGACTCAAGGCTTTCCTGACCATAATCCCCTGAACAATCTACACTCATACAGGTGTTCACTAAAACCAATTACCATCAGAGGAGGAGGAGAGGTGGGTACAAAGGTATTTTTATTGGTATTGAGTAACAGTTAAACCTCCTCTTTTCCCCTTTTTTATTGGTAAATAATACAATTGTCTAATACTGTCTTCACTGGACAGGAAGTGTTGTGAAAATTTACATTTAAATTCACACAGAAAAAATAGTGCCAATGAAAATATTAGCAGTACATCTACAATTCAACCTGTATCTTGTGCATTACAACAACTGATAAAATGATGGACTTGCTACTCTCATATGACTGCCTCTAAATGTTTACAAAACATAACAAAAAGTAGTATTTCAAAAGCAGCCTGTTTATGCCAGGACTGCTCATGCACTTAAAATGGTAATTGAGCTTTGATTCAGTGCATGGCTAATTACCCCTGTAAGACTGTATCTGCTATGTCTTTTGTATTCATCTGTGTATCGATTTCAATATGAAAGTCCAGATACTGTGTACAGTAGATCCAGTATGTGTCACTGTAGGTATTGTGCAGACCTGATCCCCTGTATGGTTAGCAGACCACAAAGCTCTAAAAAAGGCTTTTGTAGCTCATTCAAATCAGCCCAGTATACCATATGAGCTTCTGTTAGTTTAGCTCATAGTGGCTTGAGGATCGAGTATAAAACTAGACAAGAATCAAAGTCACTCCATGTGCATGTTTGACTACAATAATTTGGTACTAAAACTCAGCTGATATATGATTATGCTGCCAGTTTTGGTATGGTTATCCACTATGGTTATCCAGTTCTAGTGATTTTGGAGACCATGCCAAACTTTCATTTTAGTCAGTCATGCTCCCCATAGCTCAAACTCTTCCCTTTTCAAAAACCATTTAAGCTTTCCTCTTATGACACTCAAAAACCAAAATATCTTGCATCTTATTCACAATATATCTCTGAGCAAATTTTATGACAACCTGCAAATTACAATATGTGTCCAATGGGTCCATGATGGTTCTAAACATTTTAAAGTAGCGTTTAAATACTTGACATGTCCATTTTGACATGAAATCACATAAGCGGGAGAAGACTCAACAAACATTAGTAAGAGACACATTTACTATTTGGAATTCTGACTTTGAGGGCCAATCAACACAATTTGTTTTTTACCAACA